TTTTTTTTTTTTTTTTTTTTTTCTGTTATATGAATTGCTTTAGAAAGTCTTTGTAGTCTACATCTGATCCTGCAACCTTATTGGACCTGATGAAGCAAAACCTCTGAATAAAGGAACAGTGTCATTTTATTCAAAGGCCTATCTCAATACAAATAGTGCAGTGATCACAAGATGTCTTGTCATCATTTTACAACATATAAATAGAAAGTTAGCTTAGAAAAGTTTTCTGTCATCTTAAAGCCTTTAACTTGCACAGGGATTTTCTAATTTTAAATTAAATTAAATAATACATTTAAGAGTACAGTGCTAAATAGAGAAAATAGTTTAATAGTAATAATAATGTGGCTTAAAAGGATTGTTCAACCAAAAATTTAAATTACCCCATGATTTACTCACCCTCAAGCCAACCTAGGTGTATATGACTTTCTTCTTCCAGATGAATACAATTGGAGTTATATTAAAAAATGCCCTGGCTCTTTCTAGCTTTATAATGGCAGTGAATGGTGGTCAAGATTTTGAAGCAAAATACAGTGCATCCATCTATTATAAAAAGTGCCTCACACGGCTCCATGGATTAATAAAGGCCTTCTGAAGTGAATTGATACATTTGTGTAAGAAAAATATCCATATTTAAAACTATAAACCGTAATCTCTAGCTTCTGCTAACTGCTGTACATGCGTACACGAGAGAGTGGCGTTCCAGCGGATAGCATAAGCTCCGGTGAGAATATCCTAGACTCGTGAGAACCAAGTTTTGTTTACAGCAAAGGAAAACCAGTCTAATCTTGGTTTATATCGAAACCCTTACGACATTTTTCTTAACAAATCCTTGTTTTGTACTTCTAATTGACCGGTGTTTTGTTTTGCTCTCTCCTCTGCTCTTCCGTGTTTGCTATTTCTCGGGTATATAAAGTTTTAAATATGGATATTTTTCTTATAAAAACGCATCAGAGCCATGTGGAGTACATTTTATGATGGATAGATGCACTTTATTGGACTTCTATGGGACTATTGAATATCAACAGCCATTCACTGCCATTATAAAGATTGAAAGAGCCAGGACATTTTTTAATATAACTCTGATTGTATTCATCTGAAAGAAGAAAGTCATATACACCTAGGATGGCTTGAGGGTGAGTAAACCATGGGGTAATTTTCATTTTTGGGTGAACTATCCCTTTAATAGAAGCCAGTTATTTTGTAAATAATATTTGAAAAGTGAATAATTAAAGAATTAGTTCACTTCCAGAATAAACATTTCCTGATAATTTACTCACCCCCATGTCATCCAAGATGTTTGTGTCTTTCTGTCTTCAGTCGCAAAGAAATTAAGGTTTTTGAGGAAAACATTCCAGGATCTTCCAGACGAGCATTTGTGGTTAAAAAGTATATACATTTTTATTTTTTTTAAGAAAATGACAGGTCGTTTCGCTAGATAAGACCCTTATTCCTCAGTTGGGTTCGTGTAGAGCCATTTGAAGCTGCATTGAAACTGCAATTTGGACCTTCAACCCGTTGGCCACCATTGAAGTCCATTATGTGGAGAAAAATCCTGGAATGTTTTTTATTTGTGACTAAGAAAGAAAGATATGAACATCTTGGATGACATGGAGGTGAGTAAATTATCAGGAAATTTTTATTCTGGAAATGAACTAATCTTTTAATGTTAGTGTCACTTTAAAGGCGGCATGAAACGGAAGTTGCGATTGTCTTTTCTTCTCTACTGTGACATATATCCGAGTATACGGCATCTGAAATGAGAGGGCGGGACTTGATTTCGTCCTTCGGGAATTGATTGGATCGTTGGAAGCTGGGGTGTTGCAAACAAAATGGAGGCAGATCTAAGATGTCAGTTTGCAGTTAGTGGTGGGGGGGATTTCTCTCCACTGGATTCACAGCCGACACCCAAGCATGAATAAATGTTTTATTTATTAAGGATGACGACGACGATCAACGGCACAAAACATGCCTAAAACATGCCTCCTCCATCAGGTTAAGTCATATTCATGAAAAAAATTAGTTTGCGATGTCCTAAGAGTAATGTTGTCGTAATATCCTAATATCTTTTCAATGTTTAGGGGTAACGTACTCCCTCATGACTGGTGTCAGTGCTATAAAGTGAAGCATCAGCCTCAGCTTCAGCTTTTCCCCATGTCGTTTATTCCAAGGGCACATGAATTAAAAAAAAATAATGAAGTGCACGGATCTATTATTTATAATAAACACTACAGTATTCCATTAAAAAATAAGAATTTTCAATTTTGATTTCATGGTGACTTTAAAAGTATTTCCCAAGGAACAGACTGAAATTTAAAGGCACAATATGTAATTTTTCATTGCTAGAGGGCGCGTATTCAAAGTTTGATGACGCCGTGACTGAGTGTGGAATCATGGGAGTTGTCGTCTTCATCCCCACAGCCGATGCAATCTGACGGGACTCGGGCAGAAATCATGTTCATGGATGAGCTAATGATTTATTAACGTAGTAGAATGAAGCAGGGTGAGGCTGAAAGCCGTCGACACGAAACGAGGCAGCTGAACGAGCGCGACACACAGCTCGAAAGCAGTGGAGCTTTTATTATGCCACAGTCGACCGCTTCCGCTCCTTCCGGTCGTGCGTATGTGGGGGAACAGCGCTGTTTTATCATACTAGATACATTTGAAAGTTCTGTTATAATGCTACTCTGTGCGGTCGTCACCGGTCTATTAAAACGCACAACATATTAAAGCGTCTTTGGTGTTTCCATATTTTCTTTGGGATAATGTAAGTACACAAGTCAGCAAAATATATAACACTGTTCTAGTGGTTTTTGGACATTTTAATAAAAGAAACTTACATATTGTGCCTTTAAGGTGTTATTTACTGAATCGCAACATCACTATTAAAGTTGATATTTACTAACAGTCTGGGATTTACTCTGAGGCTCTGGGAATTGAATGTAATGCTGTACTGTTGACTGTACAATTTGACTGTACTGTTAATATACATGCTTGACCTTTTGAAGGTTATTTTTCAGAGTTTTGAGCCTTGTTTATTCCAGTTCAAGCCTAGAACTTTCTATGACATGAAAAAATATGCTTTTGTAGTGGAAGAGAAAAGATTTGATGCTTATTTTGGATGTTTGATTTGTCCTATACGTCAAAGGAAGACTCATCCGTTTCGTTTCCTTAGTGATACTAATGAGAATGTTGTTCGTTTTCTCCCCCCTGCTTGTCTGTCTTTCTCTCTCAGTCTCTGCTTGTCAGCCAGAGATTCAGCACCGTCCTCTCCAAGTCTTTGACAGTATCACACACATACATTTATACATGCTCATTAGGGTCGAGGTGTAAAATCTAGACTGACAGTCACAGGCCCTCAACCAAACAACTATTTCTCCTGCAGCTCTAGTTACTACTGCCGTGCATGTTTTTTTAATGAAATAAAATGTGTTAATAATTAGTTATAATATACCATGGTCCTGGAGATCTTTGTGTGGCCAATGGACCCTTTTCACAGACTGTGATAACATTTATTAATGTAGTAAATGTAGCAAAGTTTTATATATATTCATTTTTTTTTATTTTATGTACATCTATAACACTATGCTTTATGTTATATCACCTAAATTAAAACTAGTTTATATTACCTTGACATTAAATTAAAACTAGTTAATGCTGATGTCAGTGTTTCTAACACAATGGCTGAGGGAGGGATGGCAAATTTCTCTCCCCTGAACACTGTAGGCAACTTCAATTTTTTCCTCCTTTAGAAAGTCATAGAAACGCTATTGTGGATTTTTCTTTTGCTATTGAAGCAAATGGGAATGCAAATACACACGTGTTGTAGTTTCCATTCACCACTAGAAGTTTACACTATGACCGAAAACCCTGGAAATGTGAAAAGTGTCCATATTTATACACCTTGTGTGGCCATCCTTATCAAAAACCTGAACCAGCTAATAAAGGTCTTCAGGATTATTTGAGAATTACTGACAGGTTTGTAAGAGCCAGGTTGGCCCTAAACTGTGCAGGAAAGTAAGATTTTGCTTGTGGTTAACTGTCAATAAATGATCAAAATTATTAATGCTAACTCTTGTTAGGCTGCCCATAGTTCTTAGGCTGGGGCTTGTTCATCTGATCCTGTAAATTTTTATTTGTTTTTTTTATTTCTATTATGTAAATATTCTAGTAATTTTCTAGTAAATATTGCTTAATTTTAGTGATTAAGTGGATTAAGTAATCCAGGGTTAATTTACAACATGTTTTTTGCACATGCCTTCCATGATGGACAGTAAGCCAATACATTTTTGAATTCATCTTTGAAATCCTGAAAATAAATTTCAGTCTAGACACTCATCCGATGAGACTGTAAAAGACTGTCAGTGGAAACTGCTACCATATATGTTAAGCAAACACCATCTGCATGTGTGTGTGTGTGTGTGTGTGTGTGTGTATGAGTGTATGAATATGGGTATATGTGTGTGGGTAGGTGTTTGTCTGCAGGGATAGAGATTATGGTTAATTCAAGTGGGTGTACTGAGAGCAGAGCCAATTGATCTGTCTGCTGTTAACAAACCATTCACACACACATACTGTCACACACAAACACTCACTCATGTGTATGCACTCAGAGCAGGAGTGGGTATAGGCATAGTTAGACTGATAGTTGGGATGAGAAAGAGAGAAAAAATACAGTAAAAACGGTAATATTGAATATTCCTGCAAAGCTGCATTTCCAGCAGCCATTACTCCAGTCTTCAGTGTCACATGATCCTTCATTCTAATATGCTGATTTGGTGCTCAAGTAACATTTCTTATTATTATCAATGTTAAAAACAATTGTTTTGTTTTTTTGTGGAAAAAGTCATATTTTGGGGAGGATTCATTTATGAATAGAAAGTTCAAAAGAATGTTTATTTCAAATAGAAATATTTTTTAACATTATAACATGAAATGTCTTTACTGTCACCTTTGATCAGTTTAATGCATTTCCAAAAAATCTTACTGACCCCAAACTTTTGAATGGTAGTGAACAATATAGGCATCTTAAATGTGCTGTAAACACTAAACACCATTCTAGATAGTCAAATCTAGCCTTAATATAATTGGCTGATACACTCACACACTCAAAGGCCTGTTTTCTCTCTCTTGGCCTTTCACATTTATGTCACACTCTGCTTGGCAAGTCCTCTTCCACAGATCCATACAACATTCACAATTCACAATTTTTCCTTACACACACATCCCAAAGTACATAAACAGACCCAAACACATGCAAACCATTCTCTACGTGTCTCTCTCTCCACTAGCACATGCAGACACACACATCTGTCCTAGCCTATGTGTCTTTGAGCTTGTCTCACTCATGTCTCAGATCCATACAACATTCTCTATCACAATTTTTCCTTACACACACATCCCAAAGTACATAAACAGACCCAAACACATGCAAACCATTCTCTACGTGTCTCTCTCTCCACTAGCACATGCAGACACACACATCTGTCCTAGCCTATGTGTCTTTGAGCTTGTCTCACTCATGTCTGTTCTCTATATTTGGAAATGACAGTGTTTGTCTGTTAGAGAGAAGAGGAGGGAGCCACCAATTCAGGATGGAGAAACAACGTTGTGATCCAGATTATAGTAAAATGATCTAGCAGTTTACTATAGTCAAATGGATGTGTTGTCTTTTACTCAAGACATTTCACTCCTCCAAGTTGTTTTCATGAGGCAGGGGGAGTCACACTGTGTGCATGTTTGCATGTACAGATATGATCTATTCACTCTGTACTGTAGCAAATTAGTGGTGGAATATTCTCATAGGCGCCATTTGTGTGTCCCAATGACGTACTACTGCTTCCTATGATTTACAGGATATTGAACTTAGTTGAACTCACATCATTTGTTGTATGACTCTTTTAAATGTTTGTCCGTCTTCAGAATATCAGCCAACATTCACATCCCTGTTACCATGCCCTGTTACAATCGCCAAATGTTAGGGTTGTGAATGTTTAGCTTGACTGTGATTTAGCAAATCAGTTTTGTTTTCAGTTAAATGCATTAAAAATTAAAAATTACAATTAAAATGCATTTTCTATAAATTCATAATTATTCAATTCGATTGAACAGCGGCTAGATTCAGTAAATTTTAAGATTTTATTAATTTGAATCTTCCTATTAGACTTGCACCAAAAGAAACTGTAAAGGAAAAGCATTGTCTATATTTCTTGAATTACCTAAAATTCAATTGTTAATAATTAGAGGTAGTATTGGGGTGGTGGAGAGATGCTAGAAGCATTGTCACTTGAAGCAAGGTAAGGATTTTTATATAGGCCTATATATGCAAATTTTTACCATGCTCCTCTAAACCTTTAATTAAACCTTCACCGGGTTGAAATAATAAGTACCGATAAATGTTTGTAAGTAACCATACATTTAGGATTGAGGTAGTAATTTAAGAATCGGCCTTTTGAAAAATCCATGCCTTTTTACCACTAATCCACATTTTATTGGGGGGTATACAGTCTATCCCAGGG